TCCCAAGTGCTTCATCAGAAGGGTTTCAACTCTCATGACGTGCCCGTATCAAGTCACTTGGAGAGCTCTTTCACCGATCCTGGTGAGGATTGACCGACATGACGTGCTCGCGTCAACAGGGTGCGTGATAATGATCAATTCTTGAACTTTCCATCAGAAGGGTTTTCACCCTTATGACGCACCCGCATCAACAGGGCGTGATAACTCTTAGTTCACCAGACATTCATCAGAAGGGTTCTTGCCTTCATGACGTGCCCGCGCTATCTGGGCACGTGGTAATATGCAATTCTCAAAATCTTCATCAGAAGGATTTCCACCCCTATGACATGCCCACGTCGTGTTCAAGGGAGAGGTATATATATATTTATTAAAAAATTTTATTGTCGTTTAAATTCAAATTTTAAATTTCAAATCTCTATTTTTAGATTTAAATTTTTAAAAAAAAAACCAAACCTATTTTTTTCCCTCTTCTTTCTTTCTTTCTTCCTTTCCTTTCTTTCTCCTTTCTTCATTTCTTCTTCCCTTGTTTCCCTTTTCTTTCCTCTTTGGTCAAAACCCCAACCGCCGCCTATCCTCTCGTACTGTCTCTCTCTCTCTCTCTCATCGCGCGCCGCCATCGCTAGTCTTGGACCGAGATGCACGTCGGCGTCCTATTCCCCCTGCGATCTGTCACTGCCGTACACCGCCACTACAGCTGCCGTCCGACCCGTGGTCTTATACCCTCCATCTCTGCTCGTGGTGGGTGTACAATAGAGGTACTTAACTTTTGTATTTGCTCGATTGACTTCCTCCAGTACATTACTCATTTTTTGACCACTACCTCTAGAATAACTTGCGAGCCTCAATCGGAAATTGTTTTGCTAGATTATATTGTTTCATGGTGTCCTCTAACTGTTGTTGGGAACTGCTGCATTATTGGGACATTTGTTGAGATTTTGGTTGGATAAATTGTGCATTTAACTGTTAAATTGGGAGCCACCAGTGCTTCTTGAGTTGATTATTGGCTTCGTTGGACATAGTTGCTATCTTGGTTTCTTAGATTGATATATTCGTTGGACTTTTGATTCATTGTTAGTTTTCTGGTGAGTATTGAAAATTCTGTTTCTCTTGTTGATTGGCTTGACTGGTACATACTATGGTTAGGCAAAAATCCACCTCTACGTCTAGGGCATCTAGATCCCTACCCCCTACACCTCAACTTACCATTCTTGTGAATGAACCTACCAACCAACCTTTTTTTTCGGGTGTATGAACACGTCTCGATAGGGGTAAGGGTGTCCATGTTGCTACACTCTCTCACTTTGGAGGTCATCTAAACTTTACGAAAGTCGCTGATAAACAGCAATATGCTGTGTGTTTCGAGCGACGTATCATCCCCCATAAATATCTTGACAAAATACCATGGATGCTTTGGGTATCCGGGAGGAGGGTAAGCTCATGTTTACATCTATTGGTTGGAGACCTTATGCTGAAATTTTTTGTCCCGCGTTTGTTGAACTGGTTAGAGAGTTTTGCTCCACTTTTGAGTTTGACTTGCCTACGAGGTATACTGCAGATACCCCATATGTAATTCACTTCCGGCTAATAGGTTAAGAACTGACAGGTCCTGAACCTGTACAATAATAATAAATAAATCCTAACTACCACCAAAAGTAGTCAATAATCAATTTTAGGTACTGGAGCAGGGACTCTAGGTATGTAATGGGTTACTTGATTCACCCTATTCCCGAAGAGTTTGCTTAATCTGATATATCCAAATTAATTATCTGACTAAATTCACTAACTAGTAGACAGTGGTAAGCAGGGTCGTCTTCTCAGGGACTGAAAAAAAATTTATTTCCTTCCGAGTTAGGACAAATTGGGGTTTTTAAGATTAAATACTAACTAAATAAATTAAATACAGAAAATAATTAATTAAAAGTAATAATTGTGAGAATTCTAGCCAAGGGTACACTTTAGAATAGGTTCATGCACTGATCATCGATTCACAGATAATTCCACATTTATTAATAGATTGGTTATAGTTGTCATACACGCGATAAATAACCAACCTTTCTTAATTTTTTGATAGTTAAGCTATGACCGTTAACTATTTCTCTAACCCAAAAATAACCCTAGGTACGACTGTAAGATTTAATTTCTAGATTGCATTAATAATTAGAAAGGCCCAATCCTAACTAACAAACACGCTACTAGGGTTTGTTTAAGTTAGATCGTATGTTTCCCTGACTTAAACCCAATTACGCCAGTCGCTACTGAAATAGAGATAATTAAACAATTACGGATTCAATTACCCCTATTTAGCAAAATAACCTATGTGAATAATCAATTATTGCGCACTAATCAATCATACATAAGAGCTATAACAATTAAAAGTAGGAAACATATAAATACCAATAAATGAGGAAGCGATTAAAATGAATTCGATCTCACAGTAATTGCAGAACCAAATCTTCAGTTGTCCTCTTGACTAGAATTAGGGAATTAGCTCTCTATTAATGGAGGACAAACCGCGCGTGGAGAATTGGGAGAAATTGCCGAATTGGATCTCTTAACTTCGGTCAACAATAGAAGAAAAGAACAAGGAATTCGATTGCTTTCAATTGTCCCCAAAAACCAAACGTACAAGTGAGTCGGATTGTTCTCTCCAATTGCATCCAACAAAAGTAAAAAGCAAGAGCCAAAAATGTCAACAATGGCGGCTGCCCTCTTTGCTTTCTTTTCCCTAATTCCTCACAAACATATGAGAAAGGGTTTTTTTTGTTTTCTTTTTTTTTTTTTTTTTTTTTTGCTTTCTTACTCAAATCGATCAATACAAGAATGAGCATATAAAAAGGAGGAATTGTATTGGAGCCAAAAAGCAAGGGTGAGCTGGTTGAAGGAAGGAGATAGGAATACTAGTTTCTTTCATGCAAGAGTGGCGGGGAGAAGAAAAGTGAATAGAATTAGTATACTAAGGAACAGATATGGGGACTGGTGTAAGACTGAGGAGGAAACAAGGCAGGAGATTCTAGATTATTTCCAGCAGATTTTTACAACAGAAAGTCCAAAGGAATTCACTGAAATCCTGCAAGGCATCCCTCTGACCATAACTGATGAGATGAATCGCAAGTTGCCCAGACCAGTCAAAGAGCAGGAAATCGCTCAGGCTGTCTTCTCAATGCATCCAAATAAGTCCCCTGACCCAGATGGTATGTCCCCCCTCTTTTTTCAAAAATTCTGGAATGTTGTTAGGATTGATGTAGTTCAGGCTGTACAAAGTTTTTTTCATTCTGGTCATCTTCTTAAATCTATAAATGAGACTCTAATAAGCCTTATCCCAAAAATTGATTCCCCTTCCACAATCACTAACTTTAGACCTATTAGCCTTTGTAATGTCATATATAAAGTTATTTCTAAAATAATCACAAATAGATTTAAGAAAGTTATGAGCCATTGCATCTGCCACTCCCAATCTGCTTTTGTTCCTGGGAGGCAAATTTTAGATAATATCCTGATTGCTCACGAAAGTGTCCACTTTCTAAAAAACAAAAGAGCTGGTAGGAATGGCTTTATGGCTATCAAACTAGATATGTCCAAGGCATATGACAGAGTTGAATGGATTTTTCTGGCCAGAATAATGGAAAAAATGGGATTCTGTTCTAAGTGGATCCAGTGGATTATGGAGTGTGTGACTACTATTACATATGCTGTCAATACTAATGGTGAGAAAACTGGATTCATTAGACCAACCAGAGGGTTGCGTCAGGGGGACCTTCTTTCCCCATATTTGTTTTTATTATGTGCTGAAGGTTTTACTTCCTTGATTAAGCAGTCGAATGTCTTGGGAAAGCTAACTGGGATGAGGATAGCTCATGGGGCTCCTTACTTGTCTCATTTGTTTTTTGCAGGTGACTCATTGATTTTCTGCAAAGCCAAAGGAGTGGAGACAGGAGAACTGAAGAGAATATTAAAGGTGTACAAGGAAGCATCAGGCCAGGTGATCAATGTTGAGAAGTCATCCTTGTTTTTTAGCAAGAATGTGGCTGCGTGGCAAAGAACTGAAGTGATGGATGAGCTTCAAGGCATGAAACAGGTAATGTAAGGCAGGTACTTGGGGCTGCCTCTTGTTATTGGCAGATCTAAGAAGCAGGTTTTAGATTTCATAAGGCAAAAAACAGTATGAAGGCTAAAGGGATGGAAGGAGCAGTACTGAGTCAAGCTGGAAAAGAAGTATTACTGAAGTCAGTAATAATGGCTTTACCAACTTATGTGATATCTTGATGTCTGTTGCCAAAGGTGTTGTGCAATGAGATTTGCTCAGAAATGGCTAATTTCTGGTAGGGGTAGAAGGAAAAAGAGCCAAAAATACACTGGCTAAAGTGGGGGGGAATGACAGAGGTGAAGGCCGAAGAGGGATTAGGGTATAGGGAACTGCATGAATTTAATCTAGCTTTGTTAGCAAAGCAGCTTTGGAGACTCTTGACAAAGCCAAACTTGCTCGTAAGTAGGATCCTAAAAGCTAGATACTTTAAAGGCTCTTCGATCTGGAAGACTAAAGGTTCTAATGCAGATTCATGGTGTTGGAAAAGCTTGCTGAAAGCCAGGGATTTGTTGGAGGAAGGGATGAGGAAGCAGGTGGGGGATGGGAAGTCCATCATGGTTTGGGAGGACAGGTGGTTGCCAGGCGTGGAAGGTGGAAGACCTACAACTCAAGCGATAAACGGAGGTCAGGTCTTGAGGGTTAGTGAGCTCATACAGGATGGGAGATGGGATAAGGATTTGGTTAATGCGGTTTTTACTGAAGAGAAGGCGAAGATGGTGCTCAGAATTCCCCTGAGTGTGCAACCTGGGAAAATAGAATCTATTGGGCACTGTCGCCAACAGGGGTGTACACATTGAAGTCAGGTTACAAGCTAGCAAAGTGTAGGAAGAGAAGGGAGAAGCAGGAAGGAACCAAGAGAGCAGCTAGTTGTAGTAGAAGTTACTCAGCTCAGAGCTAGAACTCCTTTTGGGGGATGATGGTGCCGCAGAAGCTAAAGCTTTTTATTTGGAAATGCTTGCATGGTATCTTGCCAGTAAATGTACTAGTTAGAGATAGATGCTCAAGAGGAGACTGGTTGTGCAGGTGCTGTAGGGAAAGCCAAGAAACACTGGAGCATATGTTTTTCTTTTGCAGTAATGCCACGACTATTTGGGAGGCTACCCCTCTCTGTTGGGATGGTCTCGAGAGTTTTAGGAGTAAATTCTGGTTTTGGTGGGAAGAGCTAAAAGATGCAGTGAAAAAGGAGAGGGGGAAGGACCGGGTTGAGCTTACTGTGCATTTGTTGTGGCAGATTTGGAAGTCACGAAATGGTATGCAGTTTAACAAAAAAAGAAGAGATCCTAGGACAACAGTCAATAAAGCTGTGGTGGGGTGGAGAGAGTATCATGAGGCTCAGCTGGAGGAGGCGGAGAGGGTTGATGGAAGTGTGAAGGAGTGTGAAGAAACACCTGGCTGGAAGCGACCAAAGGAAGGCTGGAATAAAATGAACACAGATGCTGCTTTGCATCAAGAGACTGATAAGGCTGGTTGGGGGATAGTTGCGAGGAATTGGGATGGGGAGATGAAGGGAGCTTGGGCACTACCGAGGTCAATATGTACGCAGGCAAAGTTAGAGGAAGGCTTAGCAATCAGATGCGCCATGCTGTTGGCAAAGCAAAAGGGATGGACCAAAGTAGTATTTGAGTCAGACTGCTTGCAGGTGGTGAGAGAACTTAATAGTGCAGCTGAGAAGGTGATTAGGTGTACAGTGCTAGTTGATATAAAGAAACTTGTATCAAATTTTGATGAATGTTGTTTTGCTCATACTAGAAGGGCAAACAACTCTGTCAGTCATACTTTAGCTAAGAAAGCTTTACAGTTGGAATGTTCTGCCGAATGGAAGGATAACTTCCCAAGCTGGGTGCTCGAGCTTGCTTATGCAGATTGTAAGGGCAGTTGCCCAGTTGATACGTAAACGGTCGCAGGAAAATGAATAAATTGATGTTGTTTAGATAAAAAAAAAAAAGAAAAAAGATCAATACAAGAATGAAAAGTGATTTCAAAAGTCAACAACGGTGGCTTTTTGTCTCCTGATTGTTTTCAAAGCATAGCAAAGCCAAATGAAAAATACATCCTCAGCAAAGCAGACCTCCTGGGAGTCTAATACTTCCCTCTTTTTTGTTTTAGTAGCCACGAAATTGAAGGGATTTGTTTCCTTCTACTCCGCCGGCCCCACCAGAGGGAAAAACAAACGGTTCCCCCAAATTCTTATTTTTTTTACTCCTTTCCAAAAATTTGTATTTAAATACCAAAAACTACCTAAATAAAAGAAAAACCTATTACAATTTAATTTCTTCAGCTTCCTTAAGCGGACCCCACTGCTTGAAGTGCCCCACGTGCGACGAATCCTTTGAATTTTGATTTCAAGCACTTTTCAGCATCAATTCCTGCAATGAGCACCAAAATCATATTTGAGTAGATTCCACCCAATTAATGCAATATTTAATCAAACAATTGTGCAATATTATCCAAAATATCCCACTAAAATGCACCCTATCAAGAACCATTTTGGCATTCGGATTCATTATTCAGGAATATGCTGAGACTAATGAGTACGCTGAGAGTGCTTGTGGCTACATAGAACCATTTTTCTCTCATCACCCTGATATTTGGAAGGAAATGTCTGTTGACGGGGACTGTTACGATCCTTCTAGATCCAAGAGTTCTTACCTTAAGGACCCCAGTTCCCGATATGTTCAGCGATTCTTAGTCTACAATTACTCGGGTCATAAGGATAGTTCCGATATACTTTCTAGACCTGAATTCTTCTTTATCTGGTGTATGAAAAATAATATTAAGGTGAATTTGGGGTATTGGCTAGTATCTCAATTTAAAACCGTTTTAGCTAAGAAAAACAAATCCTTGATACTCGAGTCTTATATCACACACCTGGCAATCTGGCTAGAGGTCCTCAATCCTCAGCACCATGATCTCCATTTGGCTTTTCGCATGGAATTTTTGGCTAAACACTATCTCGAATAAATGGGCGTTATAGAGTTGGTTGATGATACCTTCTGGTTTACACTCCCGGGACTTACTAGAGCACCGGTTCACCGTCCCTCTATACGAGCACGGTCCTTTTCAGCTCCTGGATCGGCCGATGACACTGTCAGACCTTCTTCTTCTATGCCTCCTCTACCGATGGCATCTGATGTTGAGTGGCGACACCTGCGAGCACAGGTTCATCATGTGGACGAGCGGATGACGAATATTGTTGATCAGGTGGTCCAGATATCTTAGAACTTGGCCGCCTACTTCCACCATGTCAGGTTCATTTTGCCATTCCCACCTATTCCATAGCCAGTCGGGACCCTCCACCACGTATTCGGGAAAGTTTCATTGTCCTAATTTTCTTTATTTGCTTTATGACCTTCATTGAGGACAATGTTGAATTTAGGTGGGGGGAGCTGTGGTACAGCTAGTATTTTTAGATTTTTTTCCTTTATTTTTTTTGGTATTTGTTATGTTTTTCTTTTATTTTCTTTTTATTTGTATTAGTGATTAGCATATCTGTGACTACCAAGGATTGATGATGGTGGGTTGAGTCTAATTCTCCTATTGTCAAATCTTAGTAATTAAAGTGTATCAAGTTAATTTGGTTAAGTCTAGAAATATCTTTTTGATGAATATTGATGATTTTGTAACCCTTATAATTTTTGGTTAACTTTTCGAGACATATGGAATAACTGCTTGGCATTTTTTTATGTGAATTAGTCCAATTATTAACTTTAGTTTTCCATGTTCGAGGAATTGAGGCTAGCTGCTGTTATTTTATGTGATATTGTGAGTTATTTTGTTGTCTACTTGTGAACAAATTTGGCTATACTCCGCTAGTTATTACTGCTGAATAACCAGGAATTTTCACCAAAAGTGTCGATTCTCGCATCTAAAAGTAGTAATATATATGAGTATGTGATTTTATAGCGACAAGAGCTAAGTAACCGAATTCCTTCATCTGACAAATATTGGAGTTCGTGCCAAAAGATTCTAATGGCTAAAGACTAAGCCTATTAGCGTTACTATTGAAATATATATATATAATTGTGCAAGTTGTGTAAGTGTGTGAGTAAAGTTAGTCTGCTGATCTATGGATTTAATGTTGAGATTTTGGTTAATAGTTGGACCGTTTACTGATAAATGTTGATCGACCATTCCTTTTTCTTAGAATAGTTAGTCATAAATTGGAAGAGTTTGCGATTTAGAAGTTAACTGGGGTGATGTTTCTTGGATCTCGACCATTGATGCTTGATATGTGTTTTCTTGGTATCTGGCAATAAGGAAGATAGAGTAATAACCATTGTCAGGAATTGGTATTGGTTTGTTGTTCTCATGTTTGGGGACAAGCATGGTTTAGGTGTGGGGGGAATTGATGAGACGTAATTTTGTCATTTATTTTATAATTAATTTCCTCCTATTACCTTACCGAAGGTGCATTAATTAGCAGATTCTATTCATTTTTGGCATTTGTGCTTATTGTAGGGAGTTGGAACAAAATATCTTAAAAAGGTGCAAATCCCTCACTATATTGGCTTCGGGACGTCAACGTTGCAATGTGGGTCGCAAACCATGCCAAAATTGTCAAATTGTACACCTCTGGATTAGTCAAATTAATTTTGACGGTTGTTAGGATAAGAGTTTGAATAGTAAAAGGAAACAAGAGTCCAAATGGAGATTGTTTTCCTTATCCAGTGGTCAACTGCGGCAGACTAGGAGCAATTTTGGGGAGCTCTCCTTTTTCTTCTTTTGGTAGTTTCCAAAAAGGAAGGAGGTCAGCGGAGACTAGGAGTCTTCCCTTTTATTCCTCTTAGTAGTCGGATAGGAGGTAGGAATTAGGGAGGAAAAAAAAGCAGACCATCTTGACTACTTTTGTTTTTGACTTTTTCGTCTTGTTCTTGTGGCTTATTCCATCGGATTTTTCATCTCAATTGAAGACAATGTACACGATAATTACTTTTGCAATTTCACATGAGCTTGTTTTGACGAAGATGAACTAAATCTCTTTTTCTAGTCAAGGAACAACGAAGGTTTTGGTTCATTTAAAAATTGTGAGATCTCACTAATTTTATTTATTCCTCTTATTTACTGACATTTGCATATTCTCTGATTGTAGTGTTTATTGTTGTTTTATTAATTCAATATCCTGGACCTGGATATTGAATTAATTTAGCAACCTAATGTCAATTGGAGCGTTAAATCCGTAATTGTTTAATTGCTCTAAAATAGTGGCAACTGGCATAATTGGATTTGTGTCAGGAGAATACGCGGACTAATCTAAAATAACCCTGGTAGTATATTATTTGTTAGAATAGAACTCCTTTAATACATAAGGCAATTGTTTTTTTTTTTTTTTTTTTTTAGGTGTATCCCGCAGACTATTCACCACCCTCAGCAACTTGCTGGCAGCAAGGTTCGAACCAGGAACCTGAAGCTCCATTTTCAGCAACCTCAACCACTAGACCAAGCCCCTGAGGGCTGACTGTTATCGCTTGTTAGACAATTATAACTTATTTATTAGTTAATAGTTGGAATTATCTCTGCATCGATGATCAATTGGGTGAACCATTGCCGAAGTTATTTCTTGGCTAGAGCTTAGTTATTATTAATTTGGTTTTAATAATTTGTCGTTTAAATTCCAATCAGCTATTTATTTTTATTTGAACCGTTTAATTATTACCATTCTTATAAAGAAAATCCCCCTTTGTTAGTTTGAATTTCAAAAAAGACAAATATCCCCAGTTCCTGTGGATTCGACTTTGCTTACCACTATCTACAGAAATTATACTTTGTTTGAGCAAATATTTATTATTGCACAGGTTTGACAACCTATCAAGAGTCATTAAAATAGTAAAATCACATGCTAGAGAATGCATGGATAGAAACATTTTGACTAAAAAAGTGAAAAAAGAAGAATTGTGAAAAAATGCATTGATATTTAAAAGAATTGTGTTTAATTAAAGTGAAAAATTATAGTTTATTAAGAATAGGAGTTGGAATGCGCGTGATCATAATGACCACTGTACCTAAGAAGCAGTTAGCATGAAGTGGTAGCTCCTAAAAGAAAAAGCGGGTACAATAAGATACAATGTTCCATGGAAGAAAGACCTGCTTCAAACAAAAATGATATTGACACCCTTCTTTAATATTTTCTCCACTTAAAAAAGTTCAAAAGATAATTCAAAGGTAATAATTTGTTCAAACCAAATAATTTAACAGAGAAAAGCATTATTCTTTAAAAATTATAATAATAACCGTCATACTATTTTTAATAAAAGTTCAAAAAATAATTTACTAAATTAATAGTGAAAATGAAAGCACATTCAATGAAAATTATATAAAACATAAATTATTTGATTTTGAAAGGAAAATATCAATTCTTTACATAAAAAACAAACTAATTGTTTGTACGAAGTAAGTTAATCAGAAGAATAAATATTTTATGGAAACAGTAACACCCCATTTAATAATAATAAGAATAATATAAATTACACCAAAAACAAACTGATTGTCTATACCAAATAAATTAATCATAATGATAAACATTTTATGCAGATAATCATAGGACATTTAATTATATAATAAGAATAATATAAATGATAACTTCTTTTTTTAACGTAGATATTAATGCCTTCTATAATAAAATATGATTTAATGACGAGCATAAATATTTATTCAAAACTTTACAAATCAAAGGACAAATTAATTACATGTCCCACATAGGGATTAATTCCTTTTAGTAGGTAATTTAATGAAAAGGATAAAGATATACTAGCGGCATTTAATAATAATGAAAAATACAAATATGAGATAATTAATGAGAAGCATAAATATTTATTCAAATCTTTATGATTGAAATGAGAAATATGTCCTAGACGAAAATCAATTTTTTGTAGTAGATAATTTAATGAAAAGGATAAA